ATTGCACGCAAAGAGACCAAGAGAGAGAGAGAGAGAGAGAGAGAGAGAGAGAGAGAGAGAGAGAGAGAGAGAGAAAGATAGAGAAAGGAAGGAAGGGGAAGAAGAAGAGGGGGGGACACGTAATAACTCAGCAGGAACATTCCGAACAGGATGTTTGGTTGCTATTTAATTAAGTTTCCCTATTAAGCGTTCTAAGCGAGAAAACTAACTCGCAACGTTTTGTTGCTAATATTAGCGTGTTGAATTTAAACAAAGCAACGAACCGTGATGACTTATCAAATTAATAGAAGAAAAGGTAAGGTAGAAGGGTTATAGGGTTCATTATCCTAACGTTTCTATCTATGGGAAAGAAGTAGACCAATTTTTCTCATGTTTTCTTACTTTTCTTATTATTTTTACTTTGTTCTTTTTAATCGCAAGTAATTAACTTACATTAGCTTATGATTTATTTAAAGAATGAATTCAAACGAAATGGAAACGAAAGAGAAATATTTGCCAAACGAGGATGGTGGAGGGAAAGGGACGAAGGTTTTCTCTCTCTTTTTTTCTTTTTTTTCTTTTACACTTTTATTTAACCATTTGTTTTTCTATCGAAGAATAAAAGTAAAGTATGATCGAGGATATTTTTTAAAAATAAACAAATTGATATATGTTTTCTTGAATATTTTTTTGTAAAAATCATTAATCAAATTTAATTTTGAACGATGTGCAGGTAATTCAATTACAATACGGAATCCTATAACACGAGAAGAAAATTATACATATAGAAAAATATATATAATTTATAATTTATATATATATATGAAAATTATATATATATCGTATAAAATACTGTACTATTACATACAAGTATTTATTGAATAAATGTATCGAATATAACATGATTTTTTCTTAACATAATATTATATTTAATATTTTGATTGTTAACAATAAATCGCTCCTAGAAATAAAAAAAAAGCTATTATAACAGGACAAAGTCCTAATAAAATGAGGAAGAAGAAAAAGAAGAAGAAGATATTTAATATTATTAGTTATATTTAATATTAATATTTAATTAAATTACCTTAAAAAAATAATAAATTCTAAGTCCCATATAAAACAGTTTCACAATTTCCTATGAACCTATTTATCATGTTATAAAAGTATTAACCCTATATTTCAAATAATAATAATAATAATAATAATAATAATAATAATATAATCCTTGAATATAAGTATATTGAAATTAGATTTAAATCGTTGAAAATGATAAACGACGAATACACGTGTCACCGGTGCAATAACCACGTGTTTCTCTATCTTCACTTTCAATTCCCCAGACCCTTCCCCCCTTGTAACCCTTCCTAGATACTTCCCCTTACCTGAACCCAATTCTCTCCATATCTCTCTGCATGTGAATAGTAATTGTTGATGCAGCTTGTTAGTAGTCTGTGTGATACTAGGTCAGACAATACCAATCAAGATAGATCTTTGTACCGGACCGTGAAACAAAGCAAAACATTATCGGTCAGAGGATAATAAACGGCTTCTGTAATATATCAAGAGAGAACTTCGTTGTTGTCCAGTCACGGTGCGAAGAACAGACGATGGTGGAGGGGGGGGGGGTGGTAAAGAAGAGAGGACAGGAGAGGAGAAGAGAAAACGGATGAAATTCGGCAGAGATACCAAAAGCCAAATTTGCACAGTACAAACGCAAGAGATATCTCTGACCAGGTGGTGTTTCCAACGTTATTCCCAATATCCAACTACTGACTATGAATCACTGTTACGAAATTGTCCTCCTCTCTGACTATTCGACGATATATATATATATATATATATAGATTATATTTGCTTACGATAAAAAAAAAAAAAAAGAGAAAACGTTGAATCCGAGTACCGTCGTATCTCACTGCGAATATTGGAACTGACTTATTTCATCGAAACGAAACGAAATTCAACAGAAATATTGTATTACATACAGTTTTGTTTGAGTGTTCAAATATAACGGATTAAGATATAACGAAGTTTAGATATTTAGTTTTTCGAATATTACAAGAATATATGTCTGTTCAACGTTAGAGATTGAGTTGCTGAAGAAGTCCCAATAAAGGGACGAAATGCCCAATTTTAATCAAAACTAAGTTTTAGTTCTTTATTAAATTTCCAATTTTTCCTACGATACACTCTTATTTATTAATTATCGACAAATTCGTGATTATTTGTGTTTTATCTAAATTACGATAGATTAAAAAAAATGAACATACGAATATGACGGGGAAAAGGAAATAAAATGGAATCTTCTTCGACACATTTTCTAATTTTTTTTTGTTTTCTTTATAATCAACAATATCTAATCCTTTGGAATATATATATATATATATAGTAACGTAACTAATAAAAAAAAGAAATAAAAATAATTAATTGATCAAAAATATTTGTGTAAATAAATAAAAAGAAATGATTGAAATTATTAGGTTGTAATAGGACATTAATTAAATATTGTTTTTTTTTTTTTTTTCGTAGAAACGTTGTACGACGGTACGAATTTTTAGAAAAACTTTCTTTTTCTTAATCATCCGCATCGAAAAATGATTGAAACCCTCGGGTTGAAATTATATAATCCCGAAAGCAAACTTAGGTTTCGAAAAAAACTTCTCGTTGGGCTCCATTTCTCCTGTTGTTATTTTCTAAAGAGAAAGAAAAAAAAAAAAAAAAGAGGGAATACCTTTCATATCCGAAATTCGAGAGAGAAACGAGTATTGCAAACGATGAGACGCAATAAAAGCGTTTCACATCAACGAAATCCCCAAAGCTATTGTTGTTAGTTACCCCATACCGATCTCTTGCGAAAAAGATACGACGAAAAATAAAAAAAATAAAAAAAAAACAACAAAAAGGAAATTACCTTTCAAATAAACGAGAAAATAATCTCTAAAGTGTATCTGTATGTATTGTTATTTTTTTAGATTATTCGCATGACACGATTTTATAAAAATAATTACAAAGAAAAAATATTTATATATAATATGTTATCACTGGTAAGAAACGTTAAAACAATTTTAAATATTAATAGAGTACACTACCACCCCTTGTACGATTTAACTTAATTGATTGTTAATTATTACGAAAGAAATGTGCATTGTTGTTTAAGAACACGGAATATAAATAAAATAAAAATATATGAAAATTATTTGCTATTTAAAGT